CCAATATTGTTACTACTCTCTTACCCTGGCAGTACTGGTAGTGAATGGGAGTGGTAACAGAAACCACAAATCTTTAAAGTCAAATTGAAGAAGTCAAATGGTAATGTATGTTATACTTTACCAATTCTAGGGCAGCAAAAATTTTAGGGGTTCTTTTGTGTCAAAGCTTGGAACAGGAATAGATCAATGAATAATTTATACATAATATACAATGTGAAAAGAACTGCTCGTCATTTTCAGAATATGAATGGGTAGATTACGGTATATAGATAAGGAAATGATATATATGTATGCACAAACATACATATGCACAAACATATGCAACCCATACATTATATATAAATTATCAGGATATAGGCTGACATAACAGTGTATTTCAGCAGTTCTTTCCACATAAATATATGCCTATTAAATATACACTGTCAGATCAAGATCACCAGGCATTTTAAGTCTCCTCTCTCCTTGCTTCAAATGAATTTTTTTAAAAAGTCTTTAAAAGCAAGTAATCATAAACTGTTACATATATTGAATATATTATTATACTGGAATTCCTTATTAACTAATTCTAAAAGAACTTCCTGTAAAAATCCCACAGATTAATACAAATTCATGTAAACAACAATATTTCCCCTTTCAAATGGTTTTAAAACTTCTACAATATATTCAGGAAACCTCCAGAATATGAATGGCAGATTTAATTAAACATAAAAATATAAAGTACTATATTTGACCTACAATACATGGAGCCTCTATAATTTCTACTACAATTTGGATCATGCTGTACAAACATACAAAATTCCTTCTGAAAATGTAATCCCCTCAGAAACCAGTTAAGGTGAATTTCTAGATCATTGTCATTCTGTTTAATATAAATTCTACTGAGATTAACAGTTTTATTCTAAAGCAATATAATGATACTCTTCAATTGGTTTAGCAACGTTTTTCCTATTATTAGGCAACAACAGATAAAATGAGAGTTACATAGTGAATAACAACAATATTCCTCCTTGGAAAGCAAAAATAACCTACAAATAGAGTTGCATTTTTTTTAAGTTACCAAATGGAAAAACAACCAAAAAAATTGAGAGAAAAGTTTTTATTCAAATACTTCTAGTACAACCAATAGGAAAAGTCCTCCTCCCAAAAAACCCACTAATGCTATATTGCATTTTTAAAAATCAAATAAAGCCCTTTTGAGTACTTCTAGTTTACTTTGAGGCAGCTTCAGAATAGCAAACACTTTAACAGTATCTTCATAAAGAATAATTTTTTCTAAGTTAAAATCCCAACTGTATTTGTACCTAAAATGTTGAAGTTGCTTTGATTAAAAAAAAACAAAAAACAAAACAAAAAAAAAACAATAAAATCAGCTTAAAATAAATTTATTGTACAATACAAAATGTAGGCATACTGGAAAATAAAGGTACATTATTAAATATACAAAGCAAATGAAAGAAAGCTAAACAACACAAATGTTTTCATCCAAACACTAAGATAAAATGCACAACATTTATGCTAAAAACAAAGTACTTCAAGAACAATATGCATTTCAAATGAAATGTTAATGATGCCAAAAAATAAAAAGAAAGAAAAAAGAAAATCAAATATGCTACATTGTAAATGCTTGAATATCAAGAATCAATAATGGCATAAAACAAACCCAATAATACTGGGTACTTTCAAGAACTTTGTTTAAAAAGGTGTTAAGAATACTGAAAGAATCAAAATATGTCCTTAAAACTGGCAAAGTTTTTTCTTTTTTAAGTTTGAGAGCCTATTCACAGTATCTTCTCTCTTCTTCCATTTACACTTTTCTATAAAAATTTCTAGATGCTCCTTCTTAACATTTTCTAAACACAGTAGCTTAGATAACAGTACTTCATTTTTAAGTATGCATTTAAGCATTACCAACACCAAAATAGTAAGTGCCACAAATTAACAACCTAATTTTGAAATCTATATGGCTATGTATGCAATATGAAAACTAAATCTTCATTTTATAAAGTGAAACCAATTTCTAAATGAAATGGTAAAATGTAACAATTTAGATCATAGGGGAAACCACAATGCCTTTTTTCCAATTAAGGCATTTGGTTGCCCAAACTACAAATGGCCCCGGTGCAACTAACACAAATATGCAGTGAGGCCTTGAGAAGCATCCAGTTAGGATATGCATCTGAACATTCAAAGAACATTCAAGTAAGCATAAAATCCTGGGCAAAATCCTCTACAACTTAAAATATAATTATTTAAATATATAAATTTAATACTTAAGTTAGCCCAAAAGGCGTTTGGCCAGCACCTCTGGTAGGGAATTTCTTTTCTTAATATCACAGTTCCCAAACTCAAGACATTATGATCAAGATTTTCTATCTTTATTTGCACTAGTATCTAAAATACTCAGTGACATCTTTTTTGTTACACTATGTTTACTTTTACAGACTTTCCATTACCACATACACCATCATGCTAAGAAGTCACCAAGTTTTTCTTCTAATCCCCCACTAAAATAAACAGGTTTCAACAAACTTGAAACTGTAGGGGAACTACGGGGAAAACCAGAGGGGTATATGGAAGAAGGAAGAAGTGTGAATAGGTCCTATAGGATTTTACAATCACTTTGCCAAGACAACTTTAAATACTATGAATAATTACTTGAAATCAGGTTGTGTAGAATCTATAGTTCTCTTAAAAACAAGTTTTGATTCTCAATATTGCATTTTTATTATCAAACAAAAGGATTTAGATCTAACATATTTTAGTAGCATACTTACTACCTGCAGACTAAATTCATTTCTCAAGTACTCTAAGAGTTCAAATAGAACAAACTTTATGAGATGCTATAACTTATAACAAAAGAAATATTAGCATTTATAAAATTATTAGAATAAAATTTTAAAAGCTAAAAACCAAAATTTGCCATTCATATTTAAATATAACATAGAAAAAGTTATGTGGATAATATGAAAATAAAATTGTTTAGGTGAACAATTCACTTGAAGACACTCACTGTTTCTCCTTCTGAGTAACTAACCATTATAGCTTTTTATCAATGAAATGTCATTATCTCACATCTGAAATTCTTTGGCTGGAATGTTTTAGTAACATAAGACACTCCTGTATATAACAATTCTGACAGAACAGAGGAGTTGCAAAATAAAAAAGGTATATTTTAAAACATTTGATAAAATTTTAAATAAATTTTTTTAAATGTAAAGCCAATCTATCACTAAAAATGGCATAAATGTAAATGCAAGCTAATTTTATCCACTGCTATTTTAAATAAAATAATTTGGGGTTCATTATTTTGCCTTTTTAGTTTTGTATTTAGCATAGAAGTACTTTCTATTGCCACTACAGATATCAAGTTAGTTTTAAAAATGGAAAGGAAAAAACAAAATGCAACAAAAGTTATGAGTTTAATTTGTGAATTTTAGAACTAAGAATTACAATTTTCTGTTACTATTGTAAAATGGGATTATCTGACCACATAGTTAACATCTTAATTACATCAAGAAAAATTTAAATTTTTCCTTTTTGTATTTTTAAAAATAAAGCAAATTTATGTACTTGTAAATATTTTTTAAAGACCAACAAATGCACTTCTTAATCTACTGTCTTTATACAAAGATTAAAAGGAAAAAAAAAAAAGCTTTATGGCTCCAGCACCCAAGATTGAGAACAAAAAATACCTCAAATAAATATTTATAACTTGCAAAAAAAAAGCTAAAGGTGTTGAAAGATTAAATGAAGAAACATTCTGAAACTAGAACCCATTTCTTTAGCTTTTCTCTCCCAGACTTTCCATTCTATATACTACAGTTGTAGAGATGTCCTCATTTGACTCAGGTGACACTTTTTTCCATACTGTCTCTTTTAAAGCAAGTTCTTGTTGGAGACTTTCATAGTCCAATGGTCCAAAGGAATGCTAGTTGTTCAAGCAACATACATAATTTATTAGTGCACTTGAGTGAAGAAAGGTCCAAGCTATAAAATGGTATTTTTCAATGAACATTATTAAAATGTTAACATTTTAAACCACCACCTCTGACATTTTGTTTCATGTTACTCAGGTCAACTCCCACGGAAGTTTCTACTCTGTTGGTTTCGCATAATTCTTACATAGTAACAGAAATTAATTTGATAAAAACTAACAAAAATTTAGTTTAGCACTACAGAAAATGTACTTAGTATGTATTAAAAATATTTTCTACTTACAAGTTCTTCATATTATCTTGAGGTCTAATTAGGTAATTTTACTACAAATATTTTCAATATGGTACGCAAAGAAACTGAATCAAAATTCTCAACACAAGCCCCTTGGTGCAGTGAAAAACTATATAAAATATAGACCAAAAGTTAAGTCCTGACTCTTAATACTACTTCTAAAAAAGGAATATATGTGTACAAGAGTATGAAGCCAAATACATTGATAAAAACACAAATAGGACCGTAAGATTATTAGGAATACTGCATTAAACACAGTGGAAAAAAATATTTCATCTACAGTGACTTAACAAAACTTTTGAGGCTTCATATGGTCTCTTACTAATACGATAATCCTTTTCATTTACATATCCATCTACACAGTATGCAAGAAGTTAAAATAAACTTCAATTTAGGACTGACAAATATTAAAACAATGCTTTATAGCATGTAGCACGTTTCAATGTCTTTTTTTTTTTTTTTTTTTTTAACAGAATCAATTCTAAAAATCTTGCTTCAAATAGTGGAAAATCGAAGGGGAAAACCCTGACACTAGGCTAACCAGTTTCAATTTAAGTAACAAAACAGTAATATTTAAATATCTATATCTATTAAGCAATATTTAAATATCTAATACTGGTGATCCCGGATTAAAATGTCAACAATTTGTTTACACTCATTTATGAATAGCAAAGACCCGAGGCCACTAACAAAGATTTTATTTATACAGGCAAATATCACTTTTTCTCTTCTTAAAAATTTTATATAATTATCTAAATAAGAATTTTGCTTACCCTTTGATCACCACCTTCTCTTCGAGGATCAAGTTTTTTTGCAAAGTGTCTCAAATTATCATAGTTATGGAAATTACACAGAGAAACAAGATCCTGTAAACAGTTATACAGAACAGGTATAAGAAATTGGCTATTCACTGGTTATGTATATCCATATTTTAACAAACTTTGCTTATATCGTCCAGCTTAGAAATCATCACTACATGCTAATAAAGTAGTATAATGCATCAATAAGAGACCTAAAATCAGAGTAAGATATGGATACAAGTTTTAAGGGCACTGCTTACTAACATGATCCTAGGGCTCAGCCAATCAAATCATCTTTCACCTTCTACAAAATAGGGTTTATAACCAGCCCCATGAAAGAATTCTTCTATCAAATAAGTGTAAAGCAACATTAAAATATAAGTAAGTACTCTGGTTACAATCTACTATACTTTATATGCAATCCAATGTCATACTCTAGTTTTTGTAAAATATAAAAGACTGGAAAATAAAACAAGTTTAATTGAGTATGGCACTCAATATGAACTCTGGAAAGTAATAAATGTAACTAAAACTAGAAGCTCAAACATTAGCAGGAAGTAGGTAACAACAAAATACAGAACTATCAAGAGCAGTAACACTTTAAAAACTGTTTAATCTTTTTTAAATTTTCAGTGCTTATTTCCTCAAAAAAATGTTTAAAGGTAGTCAATGGATAAAGATATTTAAAAATGCAGATTAAAGATAAACCAAAATAATTCTTAAGATATACTAGCTTTTAAATTACTTCTCCAAGTTTAATATCTTTTGTTGAGCTTTTGAAAATTGATACTAATTCTAACCATGAAAATTGAAATATTAGCATCTAACAAATATAATCTGTGGGAATAATTAAATGGGAGCTATCTGACAGAGGCAACTTGAAGCTCCTCTGGGAGTATTTCCACAGCTACCTAATAACTGGCACACTATAGGTGGAAGGTCAAGAGTTAATGAACTATGGAAAATAGGTTACAAAAAAGAATCATTGGATGGCTCAACTTATATCATCATTATTCTCATTAAGAAAATATGCTTACGTGACAAAAGTGAATTCCCTTAACACTGTTGCCCATCTTATCCAGAGGAGGAGACCAGCACATCATACCCATAACATTGGGGACAACTAAAAGAATGCCCCCAGCAACTCCAGATTTTGCAGGAAGACCAACCTACAAATAATTCAGTAAAAGAGTATTCAGGTAAAAATTTTAAAATAAGAAATGTTATGTTCAACAATAGGGAAATTGGGGCTGGGCACTGTGGCTCACTCCTGTAATCTCAGCACTTTGGGAGGCCAAGGCAAGCAGATCACTTGAGCCCAGGAGTTGGAGGCTAGACTGGATAACACAGGAAGATCTCATCTCTACAAAAAATAGCAAGACATGGAGGTGCACACCAGTAGTCACAGCTACTCTGGAGGATGAGGTGGGAGGATCACATGACCTCAGGAGGTCAAGGCTACAGTGAGCCATGATCGCACCACTGCACTCCAGCCTGGGTGACAGAGCAAGATCCAGTTTCAAAAAAAAAAAAAACAAATTGGGAAATCGGTTTAAAAATTAAAAATTATCTCCTGACCTCGTGATCCTCCTGCCTCAGCCTCCCAAAATGTGCACCTGTAGTCTCAGCTACTCGGGAGGCTGAGGCAGGAGAATGGTGTGAACCTGGGAGGCAGAGCCTGCAGTGAGCTGAGATGGCACCACTGCACTCCAGCCTGGGCAAGAGAGCAAGACTCCCTCTCAAAAAAAATAATAATAATAAAAATAAAATAAAATAAAATATTATACATATACATACATATCATAGAATTTCAACATTAAAAATATTGTAGAAAAATTTTTATCAACATGTTTATAAATAAAGTTATAAGACTGGGTGCGGTGGCTCATGCCTGCAATCCCAGCACTTTGGGAGGCTAAGGTGGGCAGATCACCTAAGGTCAGGGGTTCGAGACCACCCTGGCCAACATGGTGAAACCCCGTCTCCACAAAAAATACAAAAATTAGCCATGTGTGGTGGCAGACACCTGTAATCCCAGCTGCTCGGAGGCTGAGGCAGGAGAATTGCTTGAACCTGGGAGGCAGAGGTTGCAGTGAGCCAAGATCGCCCCACTGCACTCCAGTCTGGGTGACGGAGCAAGACTCCATCTCAAAAAAAAAAAAAAAATTACAAAACAGTTTGGGATAGATATGAACATAGAAAAATTGTTTAAAGATACACTCTAAGGAATTATAGCAGTTACATCTAAATTGTGAGGCTATGGATGCTTTTATTCTTTCTGACTATATTTTCTAATTGTTCTAAATAAATGTATTGTTTTTAAATATAACAAATTATTTTTTAAATATTTTACAATTAGAAAACAATAAAAAGTTATATATTCTTAAAAGATTTTCTAAAATGGTAATTTAAAATTACTCCTCCTCAAAAAATTTAAGTTATATTAGCAAAACTTGACAAATGATAAAAACAAAACTTAATGTCATTAGGGCAGTGTTCATTAACTGCTTACTAACATTCAGTTAGTAAGTACCTCCGGATAGAAATATACCAATAAGACCGGGTGCAGTGGCTCGTGCCTGTAATCCTAGCACTTTGGGAGGCCGAGGCAGGCAGATCATGAGATCAAGAGATAGACGCCATCTTAGCCAATATGGTGAAACCCTGTCTCTACTAAAAAATTACAAAAAATAGCTGGGTGTGGTGATGGGTGCCTGATATCCCAACTACTCGGGAGGCTGAGACAGGAGAATCACTTGAACCCAGGACACAGAGGTTGCAGTGAGCCAAGATTACGCCACTGCACTCCAGCCTGGGTGACGGAGTGAGACTCCGTCTCAAAATAAGTAAATAAATAAATAAATGAATAAACAAAAATAAAAGAAGTATACCAATAAAGTACTCTTACACAAAACTAAACAAAACAAGCAGACAAAAAACAAACAAAAAAAAAACAAACACCTGAACTGGATCTACAAATTTATAGGAAATACAAGGAACAATGGAACAGAGGTAATCAGCAACGTACAGACAGTGGAAAACTGTATAGACTGAATGACCCAGTTTTTTCGACCAAACAGGAAAAAAAGAGAGACTGGTCAAAAGACCAATAGATTAAAAAAAAAAAAAAAGGGGGACACACAACCCAATCACAATGTATGCGCCTCATTTGTATCCCAAGTCAAACAAACCATAAAATAATATAATAGGCCGGTGCAGTGACTCACGCCTGTAATCCCAGCAATTTGGGAGGCTGAAGCGGGTGGATTACTTGAGGTCAGGAGTTCGAGAACAGACTGGCCAACATGGCAAAACCCCATCTCTACTAAAAATACAAAAATTAGCTTGGTGTGGTGGCGGGCGCCTGTAATCCCAGCTATTCAGGAGGTTGAGGCAGAAGAATCGCTGGAACTCAGGAGGCAGAGGTTGCAGTGAGCTGAGATCATGCCACTGCACTCCAGCCTGGGCAACAAAGTCAGACTCTGTCTCAAAAATAATTTACAAGATAATCCAGGAAATCTGAACACTGACTAAATATTTTGATGATATTCAATTTAATATTGATATTAATAATGATATTAAAGTTTTGATATGTAATATTTAATTTTTATATGTAAAAATTATATTATTGTTATGTTTTGTTAAGGGTCCTTATTTAGAATTATATGCTGAAATATGACAAGGATGGGGAAACAGATGCACATACAGATGAAACAAGATTGGTCATGTATTCATAATTACTGAAGCTGAGTGATGGATAACATTAAATGCATCTCTCTCTCTCTCTCTCTGTTTTACATGTTTGAAAATTTCCAAAACAAAAAAAGCTTTTAGAATGGCATTATGACTTGACATGAGCAGAATGAAATAAGAAAAGTCAATACACTTTAGAAGTGGCAAATGCACAACAGAGCTTAAAGCAGTACATTTTTGTTAAGTTTTAACTTTAATATACTTTTAGTCATTAAAACATCTATGGCTGTAATCAAAGATGTGAAACGTCACATCTTTGCAAACTTTCTGAACTTAAAGAATTCTTAAGATACATAATCATCATAATGCTAAACATTAACAACTAAAAGTAAAGAAGGACTGTACTAACCTTGTACACTGGATTGCCTTAAAAGCAGAAGGAATGAGGTTCTGCAAATCAAACTTCCAAGTTCTTAAGAACCTCTGGTAGACCTTAGCTCTATTCCTTACTAATCTTGTAACAAATTAACCTTAAAAACAAGCCTCTCAAAAATTAATATACAGCTTTAGAAGCTAAGTTCAAACTGCATTTTTTCAAAGAACCAGTTCAGACTAGTTTCTTGCCAGAGAAAATTAAAATTAAACAATTACTTACATGGAAAGCAAACTGCCCTGAGAAGTCATACATGCCACAGGAATGCATCAAACTCAAAGTATTTCGAACTGCTTCAGGGCTCAGTACTCTTTCACCAGTAATTGGGCAGAAACCACCATTAGCCAGTGTCGCAGCCATCACACTGGCTGATTCACAAGTCACTTCAATGGAGCACAGCTAACACAAAGAAAAAGCAGAATTCTCATATTACTTTTAATATTACTGTTCACTTCTAAGATAATCTATTTTACTTGGTATTTCATACAGATCTGAAATATTTATTCCAAAGTGATTAATATAAACTTGAGGACATTCTAAAGATTTTAATTGACCAAAGTCCTACCCCCTTTTAAGGTTTACCCTGATTTGGCCAAAGATACTCAGTCTTTTAATGGCAGAACTAGACTAGGAAGTGCCAGCCTCTAAACACTAAGATTTGTTATTATCCCATGTGATATTCAAATCTGCTTAAATATTAATACTTTCTGTGGAATACACAAGCATAACTACTTTTAATTCAACAGGAAAAAAAATGAGCCATGAAATATTTTTAAGGTAAAGCACCATACATGAGGATTATGATAGTGTCTACATGAGAAATCATCATTTTAGAAAAAAATGCTAAAGTGCCTGACATTTCACCCATAACAAAGCTCAGTATCCCCATTTATATGGTAACAGGCAAAGGACAAAGGGGAAGAAAAACATAAAGCAGATCTGTCTCAGATGCTCTGTAAGCCTAAACCAAAATGTTATCCTTTAGACCACTTATTAATATTTATTTGATATTTACTATGGGTGCTAAATATACCCTCTAGGATGAAATTTTTGCATTTAAACACAATCAAAATAATGAAAATAGTTCACCATACCAAACCCAAATTTACCCATAAAATGAAAATAAATGTTTCCACATTTTATTTTTAGCTAATAGTAAGCAAAATTGGGATGAGATGGGGTCAAAAAAGAAAGTAGATAGGAGAAGAATGGGTTCTCAACTTGTAAATTTTCCTCAGCCATACTCCAAGATCTACAAGAGGCACAAAGAGGTCTGGAAATAGCAAGGAGGAAAACTAAGTATAGTGAATTAAAACATTGTGTGTTTCACTTTGACTAGTTGCCTATTTATATCAAAAATCTCTTCCCTATTTCTCAAAAACGACAGAATCGACTTATAATACTGCCCCAGAGAGCAAAGACTTGTGATAAGGTCGACTTAATCATACAAGGCTTTCTCAATTCCAATGATCATTTCCTAATGTATACTTAACATTAATTGGAATTTTGTTTGTCATAAGGCAGCACATTACTAATTTGCCCAATGCTAACTTGGGTACTCTCCTGCAAATCTCAATGGTCGTTCAATTTGATGCACCCCTTCTCCAAAAAAGTCAGTATCACTTCTATGGCCATTTCTTGACTTTTGCCATGAAGTACAGAAATGTCACATTATAGTAGATTCTGTAACAGCCAAATTTAAATATGTATTCCAAAGGAAAAGAAGCTTATGGAAAAAATTCATACAGACTAGGAAAAAATAAAGGCTAGTTCCAAAGGAATTTCACATATCATCTCATGTTATCTTCCACATAATATGGCAAGACAGGTCAGGCATATGCTACAGATAAGGAAACTAGGGATCAGTAACTAAAATTAAGTCACATGGCTAATAAGTCGCTGGGCTAGACCTTAAATTTTGTATTGATGGTCTGGATTCCCAGTTTACGGTTTTTCACATTGGGCAGATGAAAAGCTGCAACCTGGACATCTATCAAAATCTAACTCATTATCAGCCTCACTTATATATTCTCTAAGATTACTGAAAGGTTAAAATTAAGGAACTTTTACAACTAAAGACAGGCAAATGTAAGGTGAACTGGAAATTAACAATAATGCAGCCTCCTATGTGGCTTCACATTACAGTCTCATCAGTGGCACCAGCTGTGTTAAATCTGTAAGAATAAATTGAACTGAAAATGTGGGTGAGAGAAGAGATCTCCAGGAAGGCTATTCTAAACTGAGTTCTATACCACAGCCCACTGTGTAACATGGTCCCTCTTGCCCAGTCCCGCCCCCTCAATATTGAGAGCTACTCTAACTTAGAAGAAAGCCTGACATATGACCTGCAGAAATGAACTAGTACCAGTTAAGGCAGGATAGAGCAGTAACAAAGAAATTACAAGATACCAAGTCAGCTGAGACACTGACACTTTTAAATGCTTAATAAGAGCCCTCTGATTATTTGGGGAAAAAAACAAAAAAAACAAAAAAAACTTTTCCCAAACAAAATGTAAAGGCTACAAAAAATTTAGAGCTCAGTTTATAATTAGGAGTGCCAATTTCTGGGAGTGTACATTATTTTTGACAATTCTTCAATATGTTTACAGAAAAAATTGTCCCTATTACATTTTGAGGCATGATATTTTAGGCAACATGGACATAAGACTGCCTTTTATGAAGACATTTTTGAAAGTCAATGAAAAATGTATTTTCTCATGGCCTAGAACCAAGATTTCTGAGACACCTATATTTTGCATAATGTGACACATCCATTTATTTATTTTGAGACGGAGTCTCACTCTATCACGAGGCTGGAATGCAGTGGCGCAATCTCGGCTCACTGCAACCTCGGCCTTCCAGGTTCAAGTGATTCTCCTGCCTCAGCCTCCCGAGTAGCTGGGACTACAGGCAGGCACCACCACACCCAACTAATTTTTGTATTTTTAGTAGAGATGGGGTTTCACCACGTTGGCCAGGATGGTCTCAATCTCTTGACCTCATGATCCGCCCACCTTGGCCTCCCAAAGTGCTGGGATTACAGGCGTGAGCCACCGTGCCCAGCCAACACATCTATTTATATATATAATTTATATAATTAAATTACCTGGAAGTAGAAGTCTAATATACCAACCATATCTGTGCCTTCTGGAAAACACTAAAAAAATAGAAAGGCAATTAAAAATTCAGGCACACAGGAATGCACATAAGTAGAGAAATACATGAAAAATTTCAAATGTACACAAGTGTTTCATTTTAATTAATAAAATAGCATGTAACTTCTAAAAGAGTATAAACATGAAACAAAAAAGCAAAATTTTATCACATTATTTAAGTTTTTAGATACTAGTTTAACTGACAATGATAAAACGATTCTCGATGTATAAATCAAGTTACTAGACCAGCCACTTAAAAAAATCAAGAGTAGTTAACACTAATCAGGTATTATTATGCTTTTGAAAAAACAGACTAAACCTCAAACAAAATTTGCATTAATAAATAAAATTAGTCAAATATTTAAATACTGCCAGATACAAATCAATTTAATAATAACATTAACAATTTGATAATACTGACTCAAGAGCACTCTGCAAAAACTTCTGCACCTTAAATAGTAATAGGTAGTTGCTTAAAGGCTATTGTTGAATTCTTAGCATACATCTTCATGTATTTTATTAAATGAAAGAATAATTTGAAAGAGAAACAAAAATTTAAAAACCTTCTTTTCTTTTAAGTAATATCCTATTGCAAAATTTCGATCTCCACTTTCTCTTTCAGACTGAAACCTGGAAGAAGAAAAAAACAAAAAACATTCGCTCTATGTACTTTCTTTAAAAGTGTGATTGTTCATAATTTCATTTGTATAGCAATGTACAGCATGAAGAACACTGAACTAAGATTTAGGACTACAGAGTTCCAATCAATTCTGTCAACAGGCTATTTGTGTAGCTTTGGACAAGTCTTTTAAGTGGTAATTCTTTCAATCTTCATTTTCTTGGCTATAAAATGACTGAAATGAATCAGGCCCATTCAAGTCTTCATATTTTGTAAATAAAAAGGCTAATTTTAAAATTCTCAAATCTTCTACCATTAAAATACACTGAAAAACTGCAGAATCCTCTGGCTACCCAAAAGTACAATAAGAATCCATTTTAATTGACATAATCAGGGAACTTGATATAATCATGGAACTTTCACTGAGAGTGGGAAACACAAAATGGATCTTGCAGGATTCAATGGACTAACAGATTCCAGGGTACATCGAGACCATCGAGACCATCGAGGCCTAGGCACTGGCAAATTCCATGCAGCATGAACGGTTAGAAAAGTATTATGGACACGGCTCCACTGAAGAATGGCAAATATTCTGATGTAACCAGGAAACACAAATGGAGAAGAGTGGGAAAACATCAAACAAACGAAGGAGACTGGGACAAAATTATCAAAATCAATAGATGTCGAATAATGTAATAGCTCCTTACTACCCACAAAACAAAAGCCTGAGGGCTTTCAAACAAGTTACCTAATCAGATCTACATTTTAGAAAGATAACTGACATCAGTTTGAAAAAGGGGAAAAAGAAGCGATGACTGATCTATTAAAAGAATACTGTAATGAGAGCTACAAAAGCCTGAATTTAGGCAGCTGTGATAGGAATGGAAGGAGAGGTATGATCAAACATGCAAGTAGTTGGATAATCTTCCAACCTGATGAAGAAAAGGAGAGACTGAGTAAAGACTGATACAAAGCCTGAATTTCTAACATAGCCTGAGAGCATGATAATATTAACTGACATAGGGATCTATCTGTAGAGCAAAGAGCAGTTTGGAAAGAAAGAGAATGAGTTTTGATTTAGACAGATTTAATTTGCATTATATTTGAGAATTACCCTACAAGTCTAAAAGGGCTGCTGATATTAGAGGAACTGTGGGTAATGTTCTTTATATCACTGAGGTGGACAGCCCCTTCTAATTGTACATTTTAACATTTCAAACTCTTATCAATTTGCCATACTTTTAAAAAAAATCAACATAGTTTAGATAAATGACTGACTAGTCAGCAATTATCAAAGTGACTGACACAGTTTTTCAACACTATCTCAAGTGCCTATTATCTGCCAGATAACATGCATACAGAAATGAACTGGAAGACACAACATTCCATCTAGGTCTTAAGGAGGGCAGAGTCTATTGGTGATTATGGGGCAGAGAGACATGTAATAAGTTTGATAAAATATGGTAATAGGAGAGCACAGAAAAGAGGCAAGCTGAGATTCATGGAATACTTCCTGGAAAAGATACTTAAGCTGATGAATTAATGTTGGGAAGGCATGCAACCTTAAAATGCTTACCCCTGAAATGCAAAGCAGGAAGTGCAAAATAAGAATAAAATAGTAGTATACATGCTAAAACATAATAATATTACAATAATGTTTAACAGAATAATGTTTCTAATGACAAGGAACCAATCAGACAAATACAAAATGGGAAACATCCACCATATGGCCTGCTGCCTGTTTTTATAAAGTTTTTTAGAACACAGCCTCGTATTGTCTATGGCTGCTTTTCTACTAAACAGCAGAACTGAGAAGTTACGACACAGACCGTATGGTCCACAAACATAAATTATTTACTGTCTGGTCCTTCAAAGAAAAAGTCAGCAACCCCTGGTCTATAAAACAAGCAGCGTGCACTCTTTAAAAATAAAAGCCCATGGCTGGGCGCGGTGGCTCATGCCTGTAATCGTAGTACTTTGGGAGGCTGAGACGGGCGGATCACAAGGTCAGGAGATTGAGACCATCCTGGTTCACATGGTGAAACCCCATCTCTACTAAAAATATAAAAAAATTAGCTGGGCGTAGAGGCGGGCATCTGTAGTCCCAGCTACTCGGGAGGCCAAGGCAGAACATGTGAACCCAGGAGGCAGAGCTTGAAGTGAGCCAAGACCACGACACTGCACTCCAGCCTGGGCGACAGAGCAAGACTCTGTCTCAAAAAATAAATAAATAAATAAAAGCCCATATAAAAATATTTAAAAGCAAAGATCTAGAGCAGAGAACTGTTCTAAGTAAACAGACAAAACAGACATCGTAATAAATACAATGTAAGAACCTTGATTTGTTCCTGAATCTAAAAAGTAATAATAAAAGTTGTAAAAGACACTTGGGGAAGAGATGGGGACATTTACATATTGATTAATGTCATGATATTTTAAAATTAACATTAATATTCTTACATGTGTTAATGATATTGTGGTTATACAGGAGAATGTCCTTATTCTTAGACTGTATGTGCTTTCTTATTCAAGGGTGAGGTATCATGATGTCTACAGCTTAATTTGAAATGGTTTAGGGGAAAAAAATCTATGTACATACATATTTACATATTTGTATGCAGAGGTATACATACATATTTTTATCTATCTAAAGAGACAGAGGTTGAGAAAAAGCAAGTAAGACAAAATATTAGAAAATATAAGTAAAATATAAGTAAAAGATTTATTTTTTCAACTTTTCTATAGACTGACAAATTTTAAAATAAAAAATTGGGGTAAAAATCCAGATAGCCTGGAACAGAAATAGAAGAGAGGTAAAACAGGTATTATAAGCAAAGATAAAACTGAATAAGCACCAGTAATTTGACATAAACTTGGGGTCTCTTCTGATTGTACGATTACCTATAAGAAATTTGTCAAAACTATTTAAAGTATTTTTAAGTGTTTCTGGCAGGTAATTTAGAAATCATTCATTTCCCTCTAATGAAAAGAGAGCAGATCAATTCTAAATACAGTGTGTGTTTTTACGTAACAAAACAGCATTTAAAACACTCACGTCGCATTACTGAATCCAACATATTCATTACCAGCCATCTTATTCAAAAACTGCATGACCTATAAACCAAAATTAGGAATTAGTAATCAAAAAACAAATATATAGAAAATGTGGCATGAAAAGTGAATTACATGTTGCACTTACATAGTCAAATTTTTCAGCATTATTTACTCCTTGCTGCAAAAAAATAAGAGACATAAATATGTTAATATAGGTACCACCACAGTTAAGTTTCAAGCTAATATCAAAATTTCAAACAGCTACCATTATAATATACTGCATTAGTATTTTTAAATCTAAGAAATAGTTCTAAAGCAATTTAACATTTATATAAACTCTTTTACATGTTATTTAATACCCATATGTTGTTGAGAATGCATCAGAATTACAAAGGGAATGCTTTATTTTAAGTATATCTTTACCCAACCCAAAGTTACAGAAATTTAACTACAAGTTACCATGAAATTCCCTTATCTTTTATGACAGTACATAATTTTGCTAAAATGTGTTATTTAATCTTATATTTTAAAAAACTTAAAATAAAGTTTCACCCTTCGAAAAGAATTAAGTATATATAAAATATTTCAATTAAGAAAAATCTATTTGTATTTTATTAAATCCTTTAATATTAGAGTTAGAAAAATGAGTTATGCTGCAAAACTAATCTTTTATAATTCCAGTATATGCAAACATTCTGGTTACATTTTACTACTGTAGAGAAAGCTCTATTCCTAATAGCTCTCACTTGTTATAATAATATTTGAACTAAAAAAAATTATATTTCACAGTCTAAAAAATTAGCTTCTATTGTATTTAGCATTATGCCAATTCAGAGTATGGAAGATGTATTGTTTCATCACTTTCATTTCTGACATGTTATCTATTGCAAATGTCAATAGGAAAAACCTATGTAACGTAGATCAGTTCAAGTAGCCAAATGGTTTCATTTTACCTCGGCGAAGTTTACAAAGCAGTAAGTTGTAGATCTGAAATCAAACGTATTAATTGGTGATATGCACCCAAAAGAAACAATACATCTCTAATTTCTAAAATAGGCTTAAAATAAAATAATTTGACAACTAAAGTTTTTAAAACACATTTTTTTTTTACTTTACCCTCAAAAAAATCCAAAACATTATACTTTAAAATATTATGGGAGGAAAACCTGTACCAGAGAATTATTTAATTGAATAAAGCCAGGTTCATTCTTTACAAGAGGATTAGAGTGTGGCTGACAATATGTGAAAACCTACAAATCACCTTATTTAAGAAAGACGTGCAATCACATTTATACAATCAGTAGCTAGAAGGACCACCATACTATTTCATCAAACTTAGGCATTAACAAAACTTCAACAAGATTAAGGATAATTCAGTTACAGCCATATTGTAATCACTAGCTGTGTATTTTCTCTAAAGTATCCTTTGACATAATTTTTTCTTTCCTTATATTATATACCAGAAATCAAAATGTAGAAATGTAACTCCAAAGCTGTTCAATGAAAAATAATTAAAAGAAGAAATTACCAACTTCATTGAACTGTTGCAGTTGTCAAAATATTCCATAGATCCTAATGCTGTAAAATATGTAACAACATTTAAACCACAAAAACCTTTGTAACCTTAGAAAAAGCACAAAAAAACAACTCTTTTGGAAACGGATGTCAGCATTTGCATTGCGATGTCATATGGATAATTACTGGTTAAACAATCAATGTAAAATAAACACGTTATGTTGAACTTTCATTCTGTGACCTAAACTGTACCCTACGAAACTCTTACAAGTTGTCTTCATTGGGCTGTCATGTTTAATATACAAAAATAAAAACCATTCAACTTTAGACTATGGTAACATAATTGGTCTATTTTGTGACTTACTAAATTAAAGCACAATTAGTTTTGCTCTTACGTTGTTTTTAAGAAACAACTGGTATTTACCAATGTCTAGCATTATACAGTATAACATTTTGGGTACTCAACATTCTCTAGACAGATTATGTAAATAGAGCAAAACAAAATACAGGCATACCTCATTTTATTGAGCTTCACTTCGTTGTGTTTCACAGATACGCATTTTTTAAGAAATTGAAGGTTTGTGATAACTCTGCATCAAGTAAATCTACTGGTACCATTTTTCCAACAGTATGTGCTCATTTTATGTCTCTGTGTCACATTTTGATAATTATTATTACATGCCTTATGGGTATCTGTGATCATTTTTGCTTACTATTACACTTGTTTTGGGGTGCCACAAGCCATGTCCATGTAAAATGGTAAACTTAACCTATAAATGTTGTATATGTTCTGACTGCTTCACTGATTGTCCATTCCCATCTCTCTCCCTCTTCTTGGGACCACCTATTCCGAGACTCAACAATAGTGAAAACAGGCCAATTAATAACCCTACTATGGCCTCTAAACGTTCAAGTGAAAGGAAAAGTTGTACAACTCTCACTTTTAAAAAGCCAGAATGATTATTAAGCTTAGTAAGAAAGGCATGTTGAAAGTCAAAACAGATCAAAAGTTGAGCCTCTTGCACCAAACAGTTAGCCAAGTTGTAAATGCAAAGTTTCCTTTGCATTTCTTGAAGTTCTTCAAGGAAATTAAAAATGCTACTTCAGTCAACACACGAAAGATGGAAAGCAAAACAGCATAATCGGTAACATGGAGAAAGTTTGTGTGGCCTAGATAAAAAAAAAAAAAATCAAACTAGCTACAATATCCCTTAGGCCAAAGCCTAATTCAGAACGAAGCCCTAACTCTCTTCAATTCTATAAAGGCTGAGAGAAGTGAGGAAGCTGCAGAAATGGGTTTGCAGCTAGCAGAGGTTGATTCATGAGGTTTAAGGAAAGAAGCCGTCTCCATGACATAAAAGAACAAGGTGAAACAACAGCAAGGGCTGATGCACAAGGTGCAGCAAGTTATCCAGAAGATCTGCCTAACTTCAGTGATGAAGGTGACTACACTAACAACAGATTTTAAATGTAGATGAAACAGCCTTTCATTGAAAGATGACATCTACGACTTTCATAGCCAAAGAGGAGAAGTTAATGTCTGGTTTCAGAGGACACCCTGACTTGTTACGGGCCAAGGCAGCTTGTAACCTTAAGATGAAGCTAATGCTCATTCATCATTCCAAAAATCCTAGAGTCCTTAAGAATTAAGCTAAATCTACCCTGCCTGGGCTTATAACAAAGCCTGGATTGGACCACATCGGTTTACAACACTGTTTACTGAATATTTTAAGCCCACTGTTGAAACCTACGGCTCAAAAAAAGATTTTGTTTTTTAATAGAGATGGGAGTCTCACTATACTGAGCAGACTGGTCTTGAACTCCTTGGCTCAAGCAATCCTCTTACCTCAACCTCCCAAAGTGCTGAGATTACAGGGGTGAGCCGCCATGACCAGCCAGAAAAAAAACAAAACGAAACATTTCTTTCAAAATATTACTGTTCACTAACAACACACCTGGTCACCCAAGAGTTCTGATAGAGATGTACAAGGAGCATAATGTTGTTTTCATGCCTGCTAACAAACATCCATTCTGCAGGATCAGGGAGTAATTTCAACTTTCAAGTCTTACTACTTAAGAAACACTGTTCATAAGGCAATAGCTGCAATAACAGTGATTTGTCTGATAGATCTGGGCAAAGTAAATTGAAAATCTTCTGGAAAAGATTCACCATTCTAAATGTCATTAAGAACTTTCATGATCATAGGTTGTCGAAATATCAACATTAACAGGAGTTCAAATGAAGTTAATTCCAATCCTCATGGATGACTAAGGAGTCCAAGCGGAGGAAGTAACTACACATGTGATAGAAATATCAAGAGAACTAGAATTGAAAGTAGAGCCTGAAGATATGACTGAATTGCTGCAATCTCATGATAAAACTTGAACGGATGAGGAGTTGCTTCTCATGGGTGAACTAAGAAAGTGGTTTCTTGAGATGAAAACTACCTCTGGTAAAGATGCTCTGAATATCACTGAAATACAACAAAGGATTGAGAACATTCCATAAACTTAGTTCATAAAGCAGCGGCAGGGTTTTGGAGGATTGACTCCAATTTTGAAAGAAGTTCTACTCTGAATAAAATGCTGTCAAAGAGCATTGCGTGCTACAGAGAAATCTTTCATAAAAGGAAGAGTCAATTGATGTGGCAACTTTATTGTTGTCTTATTTTAAGAAATTGCCACAGCCACCCCAATCTTCAGCAACCACCACCCTTACCAGTCAGTAATCATCAACATCAAGACAAGACCTTCCACCAGCAAAAAGATTAGAACTCACTGAAGGCTCAGATGCTCCTTAGCATTTCTTACCTATAAAATATTTTTTACTTAAGGTATTCACACTGGTATTTTTTCTTAGATGCAATACTACTGCACACTTACGAGATTATAGTACAAACACAACTTTTGTATGCATTGGTTAACAAAAAAATTGGTATGACGTGCTTTTTTGCAATCTTCACTTTAGTTAGGTGATCTGCAATATCTCTGAGGTATGCCTGTATTGAATAAGTGCACTGACTAAAGAATGTTTCTCCCCAAAACTTCCCCCATTTAAATGTAAAGGCATTTGATTATTATTTGTTCATATAATTTACCCTGAAAATGGCATTTAACTTAAGTCAATAAAATATATCTGCTTCAGTAGCTCTTGGAAAGACTTCATGTACCCCAAGGATTGATGAGATCTAATAATCATTAACATGTCACATTAATTCTGAAAAAGTTACAGTAAAAAGTTTATTTGCAAAGCTCTTAGGAAAAGCACATGCCTACATATACAAAAGAGAGTAAACCACCCCCAATGCAAAATCAAAACTAAAAATGATAAAAACCCATTATCTTCATCATTATGGAGTAGTGGGGTGAGTTGGGTGGAGAAACAGATGTTAACAAAAATAAAAGCTGGGCATGCATATATGATAGCTGGTCATACGCGTCTATTTTATATATGTTTGAATTTTTTCACAATAAAAAATTAAAGGAAAAATATTTATTTGCTAATAATTTCCCACACTAATTTGCAAGATTTTCCTTTTGAGCATTTTTCTTTCCCATTTGAAACAGTCATTGATTTTTAGTTCATGTATCAGTGGATATCTTCTATTGCTAGAATGAACTCACGACTAATTCTCTTCCTATTTTTAATTTTTACAGACGTGTGAATTGAGAAACTTTGCTTATAATAGATAAGTACACTGAAATTTTAAAAGTTTTATTATAGCCGTGTTACTCAGTTAATGCCTCCAGCTCATTACATGCCAAAAGTCATACAGTACTCTATCCTCAAAAATTATGCTAATGCTCTTATTTACTGACAACTTACTTAGATTCTCTTTCGATTTTGTTGAAACCAAAGAACTAGAAACAACCTAGTATACAACATGACTTATTACCAGTCATTACAATGGTTCACCTTCCTTAACAACACTGACTCTAATATTTCAAAATGTCCTCTTTTGCTGGTGGGTTGAGGTTTTTACAACCTGAAGCTGTGCACTGTACTAATATTTGAAAGACATGAGAACTATGTCTTTCTTTTGGAAAATAGGAGGACACCTGGACTAAAGGCAGATTAATTTTTTAAAAGGTGCATATAGAAACAGATTTTGAAACTGATTTATCTTAAAACTATCAATTCCTCAGTATTCCTTGGAAAGAATTCCAAGTATGGAATCCAAAGATATGTTTATCCCAGTTGGAAGATCACTGTATGAGCATTATTAGATACTGTATTATTTTTTAAAAAGTTATAATCATTTGTAGTAAAAACAGTAGAAACATTTTTTAAATAAACCAAATTGGAATATACTTATCAAAATTTCTAATCCACTCACCAAATGATTTAAAAAAAACAAACCCATATGGGTTGTTTGAAAAGGGTAACCAGATCCTGATATTAAAAAACTATACAAATTTTTCTGTAAATATGCCTGTCAAGCTACAGAATTTACATTCCTTTGAAAAATACTATATGAATGAAAATTTGATAAAGCACCACTGAGTTTTAACATTATCTATTAAAAAATTAATGTAACTATATTGCAGTGTTTTTATACAGTTTTTTATAACATATTTATGAATTGATTCATATATTATACTTTACAACACAGGTGAAAAACACTGTTAACAAGGACATCTGTCAATAAATTTAATACTAAAATGGCTCATTTAAAGTCAATGCATCAATCAGAGTTATTTTGTAAGTATCGCACTTGATTCCATTCATAAAGTATGGAGGTGCAAGCCAATTAAAAATTAGACATCACAAAGGAAGAGGCAAAAAGAGGTAACTAAAAATGATTTTACGAAATATTCTTAATTTAATCTTATGATTGAAAATGGTTTAAAGCTAAAGAGTATTAGTAAAATAAAAAATAAGACACTCCAGGTAAAAAAGAATGTTTTTCTAGATCTAGTATTTTCATAGATTAACCCTAAAAATAAAGTTAACAGAACAATTTTTAGTTGACAATAAATGCTCTACCTTTCACTTAAAAAAAAAAAAAACTAAAGCATAAACTGATATAAACGTGAAGTAAATAAACCAATATAATCCTGTCTTCTGAATGTTGCCAGTCCAAGGCATTATGCATTACTCTCAGAGTCACAAACCACTCTTATAAGCAAACCATGTCTTATAAGCATACCTAACAGGCTATTGCTAACATGACCAAATTGAACATTACATAAACATTAACTATGCTTATCTTGATTTTCAATGAGTATGATTACAAATTATTTAAAGAAAAAAAAACCCTAATTTTTAAAATTCAAAAATACTTTTGATTAAAAAGAAAACTGAGCTTCTTTAAATGACAAAAACTGGAAACTACCACTAGAATGAGGCATGCCAAGTAGAATGCCTCACGCCTGTCATCCCAGCATTTCGGGAGGCCAAACTGGGAGGATCACGTTAGGCCAGGAGTTGGGGACCAGCCTGGGGAACATGGCAAGACCCCATCTTTATAAAGAATTAGCCCTGCTGAGAATGGCGTAAACCCAGGAGGTGGAAGTTGCAGTGAGCTGAGATCCGGCCACTGCACTCCAGCCTGGGTAACAGAGCGAGACTCCGTCTCCAAAAAAAAAAAAAGAATTAGCCCTGCATGGTGGCATGTACCTGTGGTCTCAGCTACTCTGGAGCCTGAGGTGGCAGGATCACTTGAGCACAGGAGTTTGAGGCTACAGTGGGCTATGACTATATCACTGCACTTAGACTGGGCAACAGAGAGACACCTTGTCTCTAAAAACCAAAAAACAAAAAACTCTAAGAAGTAAAAACATAGAAGATAGTGTAACTTTTACTATTTCTAACATGAAAAAGCATTGTGTGGCAATTATTTTGCAGCATGTTGTCCTCATTTTCCTATCTTAACCCTTAAGTTATCACCAGATCTTAACTTTTAAACTAAAACTAGGTGAAATTTTTACCAGTGAAAAGACAAAAAAAAAGAAGTAAGGATACTGCTATGTCATATAAAAATAAATGTTCCTTTCAAATTTATTTTTATTCTTTCCTTTTAATCAAGCAATCACACATTATCACCACCCCCAAATAAAACAGATTACAACAAAAAGTATTCCTTTAAAGTTAGTAGCTACCACAGAGAAGAGAGGAAGTATAGTACCCTTATGATTTTAAAAATTATGTGCATTTTAAGTATAAAATTACATTTGTTTTTAAAAAGGTATTTACCTATATAGCTTTGTTTAAAATTTTAAATATTGTAGTTTTCCTATAAGCTTAGTAGTTAAGAATTTATGCAACAGGCTCCTTCTGTCCAAATTCTCCTTTTTTCCACAATCTGCTAATCCTTTTGAACATTTGCTCTGCCTCTTCCCCCATTTCCTGAGGATCACCACCAATCCTACAAGGAAAAAATATCAACACTACAAAATTATGAAATCAAGAGTCTTACTAAAGACTCTACTTAATTTTGGGGTGGGGGAGTAACATGAAGAAAATGATTTTAATGGCACCATGATAAATTCTTGAATTTTGAAAGAAAAAAAAAAAAAATCACAAGTAGTCTTAAGGTCATCCATTAAAAGAGCTAAAAACAGAATTCACCTCTAGCAGCCATGGTGAAGTATCCGTGGCGTTAGGTACTCAGATGCAAGCACCTTGGAAAAGGGCCTGTTTCTTTACTGACTAATGTCCAAAGAATGACTACATAACATTTGCTATCAAATGAGATACAACTTTTAAACCAATAAATTGCTATCGTTTGAACTAGTTCAAATTAAGAAAATAGTACTTCTGCATTTTGGACAATACAACTATGCTAATTAAAATTAAAGATGTCATCAAGAGAAATAGCAAACACCTAGGTTAAATATGGCGGAGAGAATTGTAATGAACAGCAAATTGAATATCAGGAGATTTAGTTCAAGTTCAATTCTACTGCTGTTACAACCTTGCCAGGTTCTCAGTTTCCTCAGTTATATAAAGTAAGAGAACTGCGTTTGACAATGTTTAAGCCCTTTTGGCTATGGTTTTATTACCTAAATTTCAAACCAATACCAATTTATAAATACAAAGTGATCATACAATTTGCAGAGATCACATTATAGATATTTATATGAATTTAATCCTTTCCCTAAAAGATCCTAAGAAAAATATTACACATTATGGGGCATTCAATTTTACATAGGGTTACATCAGGCTTTCCTCTCCAAGATTTGTTATGAACTTCACTTAAAAAAAAAACACTTGAGACACACATGCTAAAAACAAAACAAAAACTCAGGAGAAAGTGACCTTAAATATAAACCATACCCTGAAGCCTCATTTCCAACTTTGCCAATAGATTTAAATTTTTATGAAAACTACTGATCAAATTTGTAGGTACAAGATGACTCAATTAAATTTTTGCACTGTTGAACACTGAACCACACTTATGTTGTACGCATCTTTTAACTTTGTTTCTAATCGCTCATACTAAAATGTAACTCAATATATAGTTTATGGCTCATGACTAAACATGGCAAGTGAAACTAATGAAATGATAGTGTGATATGATAACCAGATATGCAACTCCCACATGCAGCATTTCGGTGTAGTCTGTTAAACCCATGAATCGTTAAATGAAAGATTTTTAACTATGTGCAGTTAAGGAAGTCTTCTATTAATTATTTACATAAACCCCTTTTTGAGACTATACCTAGTGTATGTTAATTTCTCTCCAGTTTAAGAGTTCTTAAACTAGGATCCATGGATCAGCCTCCAATAGTAGTGAACACCTGGAAGTTTACGTAAAATTATGGTATGTGGGTATTTTTCTGGGAAGAAACAATTTTGGTGTTTTTCTCATCAAGCATTATAGTAACTTTCCTTATTTCTAATTTAAGTTACTTGTTCAAATCTAAGCAATTATTAATGAGGCTTTTCTCTCATCACAGCATTTATTGATTTTCTTATAAGGATCCATTTACTTTTGCATATCCCATACTATGAAGTAAGCTACCTAAAGGTGGGACTGTGCCTTGCAAATAATCGCATTGTCAAGTTTCTTTCACCTCAAACTGACAGCTTTCTCCATAGCCTATTACAATTAGTTACATTTTAAAAACACTTGGCTATAACATCTACTTCATTAGAGTTATAAGAATCAAATGGGCCAATACTTTCAAAGAATTTGCCTTGAAGTAACAAGTAAACACATAGATTCTTAAGATACTAGCCTTCTATTTTAAAAGCTTTTTCTCACAGATATAAAACTCTTAAAGGATTTCTAGTATACAAATTAGATGAAGCGTTGTGAACTGGGCCAAGGGTATAATTTATACTCAAATATCCTTCATGTAACCAGTGTACCTCATCCACGGTAAAGCATTTACAAAGCCATGTAGTTATGCTTTCCTCTAACTTGGAATAGATAGGCACAGATTTACCAAAGAAGTATACAAATGTTCCAAACATAAATAAAATTTATTTAAATATAAATAAAATTTATAATTAGAAATTAAAAATCTGAAACATCTAAAATCGTGTGATAGATTTAAAAATCTATTACACAAGAACCATTTGCAAATACTTATTTTCAAATACTAGATCTTCCAATTATTAAGGCAAACCAAACACTAAAAAAACAAAAAAACAAAAAAACAAAAAAACCTCACAATGCAAATTTCAAAGCATAAGAAAATATAACTTAATTGAAATAAGCCTTATTTAATTGTTTTAATTAAAACCAAATGAAACAAGTTCCAATAAAAATTGTCATTTCAGCTCATGAGAGTATCAAAGACTTGAGAAAATCTGAGGGTAAATGTAGTTTGTCTTAAGTACTAGAACATTTCTTTCTACATATACTAATAACAAATATGCAGTAAAATGCCTTTAATTCTACTTATAACTGTTTATTCTAGAAGACTCAAAAGGAAATGAAAGGAAAATTACCAAAACTTAAAAAAAAAAAAAAAAAGCCTCTATGCCTTTATTCAGCAGACTTTAAATATTTTCCAGATCTTCAAGTCAAGAGTAAATAATTGTTGGAATTTACAATGAGTCATCTGTTTTTAATTTTGCCTTGAAATGACTACATCATTCATTTTGAAATAAAGATCCTAACTCTATACCGTAAGACAATTTCTTAACACCATGAGAAAATTTTTCACAATTCTACATAAATAATCCCAGATTCATCTTTATGCCTTAGCTATTAAAAAAAAAAATTTACTAGGTTAAAATGCAACATCAACATTTTACCTTTATTAGTGAAGTCACAACAATTGCTCCAGCATTTACCATAGGATTATGTGGTTTATCTGTAAAATATAAAAGCAATACCATTATTTCAAATACTTAAGCACTTGAGTAATATTATATATTAAAAATAACCTTGGAAAAAGCACAGCTAACGTAAACTCAATTTTGCTTTTTTCTAAGTGCTTTATTTTTATCTTTATATACAAGTACATACACAGAAGGATTTAAAAACACAAACAAGTGATTTACATAGAACAATAAAATTGTAAGGGATTTTTTTTTTTTAAGAGCCAAAGTTTCATACTATCACCCAGGCTGAAGTGCAGTGGCACAATCATGGCTTACTGAAGCCTTGACCTCCCAGGCTCAAGTGATCCTCCAGCCTCAGACTCCGAAGAAGCCAGGACCACAGGCACAGACCACACCTGGCTAATGTTTTATTTTCCGCAGAGACAGCATCTCCCTATGTTGCCCAGGCGGGACTCAAACTCCAGGACTCAAGCAACCCTCCCGCCTTGGCCTCCCAAAGTGCTGGGATTATAGGCATGAGCCACCATGCACAGCCTATAGGGGATATTTTTAGGTTTTCTATATTTCCTGACAATAGCAGTATATTTGTATTTCTTATATAATTTTAAAGTTACTTAAAACTTTACATTCTTCCAAACTCCTATTTCTTCTCCTAATTCTTTTTTTTTTTTTTTTTTGAGACGGAGTCTCGCTCTGTTGCCCAGACTGGAGTGCAGTGGCTGGATCTCAGCTCACCACAAGCTCCGCCTCCCGGGTTTACGCCATTCTCCTGCCTCAGCCTCCCGAGCAGCTGGGACTACAGGCGCCCGCCACCTCGCCTGGCTAGTTTTTTTTTTTTAGTAGAGACGGGGTTTCACCGTGTTAGCCAGGATGGTCTCGATCTCCTGACCTCGTGATCTGCCCGTCTCGGCCTCCCAAAGTTCTCCTAATTCTTATAATAAATAAGAATGTAAAAACTCAACTGATTATATTCTCATTCACTGCATGACACAAACGCCAAAAACGAAACTGTTGGGGACAGTGAAAACATCTATTTACAAGCAAACCTCAATGTCTTAATCTATCTACCTGGTGGTTACCAGAAGTGGGGGAGGGGGGAGAAGGGATTGCCAGATGTTGGTCAAAGGATACATAATTTCAGTTACACAGGAGAAATAAGTTCAAGAGATCTATTTTATAACATGATGTAGTTAATAACAAGTATTATATGTACTTGAAAATTACATATTGAAAATTGTTAAGAAAGCATACTTTGTCTTCTAATTACAAATAAATATATGAAGTAATGCATGTTACTTTGATTTATCCATTCCACAATGCATATATATTTCAAATCACTATGTTGTACACCATATACACAATTTTTATCTGTCAATTAAAAGTAAATAAAAAGAAAAAAATTATACATTTTGGGTGTATTCATAATGCCCAGTTCCAAAAGTTAAAATAAAATCTTTGTGCTATATCTGATTATTACAATTGAGATTTGCCTATTCCAAATTATACTAAGAAGTTTGATTTTTCTGAGAACACATAAAATGAGAACACTTGCTGTTCCAGAAGAATACTATGTGGCATGAGGGGGCCAAAACCTAAAAATGTTCCAAATATTATCCACCTGAAAGAAAAGCCCACGTAGAGAGAAAAGAAGAATTTAGAAATCAGATTGTGTTAAATTACTTTATACTTTTATTTGTATGGATGTTCATTATCTGTCATTTCAGAGCTTTTGACATTATCAGCCTTAGACTCTACAGTCCTAGAAGGCTGCTGATCTATGTATTCCAAACGGTATCACATAAATGTGAGTATTAAATATTTTCCAAATGATAAATACTCTGCAAATGCTACATAAATTACACTCAAGATGTTTAAAGAACACTAAATCATTTTACGGCATGACAGCCTTTGGCTCAAAAGCCAGACATCTGAACATCTGGAAACCCGCCAGAGAGAATGTAACACAACACCAGCCTAACTGCAGTATAAAACCTCGGTCTAAGACCTATGACTGTGAAATTTTCTTGTATCCTGCTCTGTCTTAAGGTAAGATGGAGTTGATGGGTTTAATTTAGAATTTTTAATTTAAAAATATTTATGAATGGCAGAAATAACCTATGACACTAATAAAGGCTATCATTTAAAGTAATGAGATACCAGAGCATGTTATACTAACAAAATGGACATGGGTGACACCTGAAATTTATGGACATGTTTTAAACTATAATGCAAAAATACTGATCAATTTTAACAAGTATTTATTTTCCCCAAAGGCAATAAAATACACAGCATTCTTTCATATTATATCAAAAGAAGCTTTTCAAGCTGCTAAGCATATGAACTTTACAAGGGTTTTGTTCACAGGTGAGGCTGAGTCAAAGTTTGCTAATACATATACTAAAGAACAAAAAATATTAAAGAGGGTTTCCAATTTAATTTGGATATTTATATTTTAGGTACTATATTGGAATTTTACAGTGCCAAGTAAAAATTGGAGTTAAACTCAATTATCTGACATTACATACATTTACAATATACTCTCTAGATATAGAGAAAATATTCTCTATCTGGTTGGGATATATACGGTTGCGAAGAATGTGCAGTGCCCATTGTGGATGGTTGGAAAAAATGTGCAGTGCCCTCTCACATTCTTCCCAACCATCCTAAATTCATCCTATCAATTCAGACCTGTCATCCTCATGTAAATTAACTCAACTCCTCTTCTTTCTCAATCCTCCATACATATAATCAGCACATATATTTTGGCACCTGTCAATTACATACTTGTAAGATAATACAATTAACCATATTCGATGCTTAAGTATGTCTTCTCCCATCATGTATTAGAAACATGTAACTGTCTTCTGTATCCTGTAGTCAGAAAACTTATTCCAAGAACCAAGGCCCATGTACCCTCCAGAGCTGTTAACAATACAGACAAGGAAAGCTATATAAATAATTTGTTGATTAACCTGATCACTATAAGGTAGAAAAAGAAGACTTCCCTGGGAGATGGTAGTTTGCAAAACTGACATTTCCATAAAGTAACTTGTTTGCTCACTGATAATGATAAAAGATATCAGCCACCTCCTACCAAAACTTTCTATGCTGCAAACATTTTAAAACTACTGTTACTGCCGGGCGCGGTAGCTCACGTCTGTAATCCCAGCACTCTGGGAGGCCGAGGCGGGCAGATCACCTGAGGTTGGGAGTTCGTGACCAGCCTGACCAACATGGAGAAACCCCATCTCTACCAAAACTACAAAATTAGCCAGGGTGGTGGCGCATGCCTGTAATCCCAGCTACTCGGGAGGTTGAGGCAGGAGAATCGCTTGAACCCAGGAGGCAGAGGTTGAGGTGAGTCGAGATCGCGCCATTGTACTCCAGCCTGGGCAACAAAAGCGAAACTCCGTCTCAAACAAAAACAAACAAACAAATAAAAAAAACCTACTGTTACAAAAAACTACTACAATTTCTCTATCTATGCACTATATCCCTATTAGTCTTAATAAATCATCACAATCTTATAAAGCTAGTATAACATTAATATTTTTATTTTTTAAAAATTTATTTTAGATATACACATATATACATACACACACAAAAAGTGTATGGTTTCACCAAAAATCTATCCTTACAATTTTAAATATGAACGAGATCTTCAAATTGTTTTTGCTGGGGCTAAACTAAATCAGGATTCAAGAGCACAGGCTCTAATAAGAATTCAGGAAGGTGTAATATAGTAAAGCCTGTATTTACCGTTACTTTTTTTTTTTTTTTTGAGACGGAGTCTCGCCCTGTCGCCCACGCTGGAATGCAGTGGTGCCATATCGGCTCACTGCAACCTCCGCCTCCCAGGTTCAAGCGATTCTCCTGCCCCAGCCTCCCAAGTAGCTGGGATTACAGGCGCACGCCACTACGCACAGCTAACTTTTGTATTTTCAGCAGAGACGGGGTTTCACTATGTTGGTCAGGCTGGTCTCGAACTCTTGACCTTGTGATCTGCCAGCCTCGGCCTCCCAAAGTGCTGGGATTACAGGCGTGAGCCACCGCGCCCAGCCTTACCGTTACTTTCAAGACTCATGGTGTTGGCTCAGGCTTAGAAAACATCTATGAATATCGAGGCAAAATCTCTTGTTAAACTTTATGTTTCATTCTTATTATAAACAATTCTAAATTCCCGATTTCTTATTTTTTTCTTATATAGAATACAGTATCAATAATTCATGATTTCTAAAACCATAAATATACATGGCAAAAAAATTCATTACTTATACTGTTAAGTTCATTTGCTCCAAGCCCATTTTATTTGCTTTTTTTTTGTTTCTGAAATCTTCTAAACATTCAAATTACTGTATTTGTTTTCTTTTTCTTAAGTATCTTCCTCAATCAATTCACTAGACACGTCTATTCTCCTTTGTTGTTCATGGAAAGTATTAAATTTTTCTTTTAAAATATTTGATATTTTTAGAATAACAGTATTAACTCTTTCAATATTAAATCTAGATGTCAACGAGCTTAGTAAATAAAGTGCTTTTGCATATGATGTCCTTATCAAAGTTGTTAATTTATGGTAATGTCCATAAAACCAAATGTAGCGTCAGAATAAAAAGGTTATGGTAAAATGGGAAAGAAAATGTAATTGCTCTCTAAATAGGATGAGAAACATAAGAAAATACTAGTCTCACGACTTCATCTTACAAACTAATAAAATAATGAGTATAAGGCACATTTCATTTTTTATACAGCAGAAAGAAAAAAGTATAAAAGTGTATCTCTCACAGCCATTACTACAACCTTCACTCTCACTTTCTTCAATTCTGTATCTTAACTCATCAATCAGAAACACAGCATATGCTTCAAAGATTAAAAAACAGAAACCAAACCATGGGAATAGTTTAACTTAGTTTGCACTCAGCTAAATGATGTTTAGACTTAAAATCTCTATCAGATCAA